AAATCCTGAGCATTGTTCAGACCTTAATCCTAGGCTTTATCTCTCTGTGAATAGAACCCTTTCTTATGAGAGAGGTCCCATGTGCTTTGCATTCTCAATTAGTAAAAACCATTCTTACACTTATTATAAAGCCTTCCTCCTTAGGTCCTTGCCTTGAGCACTGTCTCTCTGCGAACAAGAAGCCATTCTTACAGTAAATGGCACAGGTGTGTGTCTAAAGAGAGGCTTTGCAAGGGAGTTTCCATGTAGCCATGCCTCACGCTTTGTTGTGATAACTGTCCTGTGGAAACCCTTTCCCAAAGTTTTACTGTATTTAGCAGTGTAAGGAAAGTAAACTGCTTGGTCAGACTCTTGCACTTCTTGGACAGGCTGCTGTCCTTTACCATCCAGCAAGTGTTACATAAGCCGCATCTTTCCCTTTGTTTATAGGAAGTTCTGAAAACATCAGCTGGGCTTGGTCTAAGCTGCTTAAATCCCCAAGGCAACAGGAATTGTCTGGGCAAGCCAGGCAGCCACATGCAAAGCATCTGCCCAGGCCCATAGCGAGCCTGGCAAGATGGGAAGCTGCTGGCAGTCTCTCACTCGGCCACTTTCTCTCCAAGATCTAGAATCTGGCATGGGCGAGCTGTCTAGTGTATGGGCAGCGTCCAAGCATACCCACTGTGGGTGTGGGCTTGTCACCTCTGCTCCCCTAGCAGAACAGGAGTAGGAGGCACTTCAGTCTGGTGGTGAGGGGACAGGGTAAGTGGGGAGATGGTTGCCTCTGCTTTGACTTGAGCTTCTAAGTAGAGGATGAAGAGGATGCTTGCAGCTTCTTTCTACCTCAAGTAATAGTGACTGGAGTAAGCATCAAAATTCCACAGAGTCAGTGCTCTTGTCCTCCTGGGAATGCTGCTCAGATCTGATCCCAGGTACTATGATCAGAGTGTCATCTGGGAGCAGGTGCCAGATGTGACCTCACAAGTCCTCATGCTACCTTCTAGGAAGTGAATGGCAGTGCTGGTAACTGTTTGGCTTGAGAAACACAGCTCTGCTTCCAAAGGCTCATGTGTCTGCTGGAGACTTAGCTGGTTAGAAACTAGGAGACATTCCAGTCACCTACCATGGGAAGGCCAAGGGTGTATACCAAAGTTCTGGCCTTAGCTAGCAGCTCTGGCAGAAGAGTTGTGCTTACAGTGTCTTGACACTGAATTCTTTTTCAGGCCAACAGCTGCTAGAAAGACAGAATAGACATTTTTCTTTTTTACTCCTAACTAAGCTCTCTAATTTAGGTAGAGAGGTCCCTACATAGCACACACACCCATATCCCACCTCCCATGCCCATAGCAGGCATTACTAGTTGCTCACCATATACTTTTCTGATGAGTTGTCTGAGATCTCTTATGAGGCTATACTCTATAGCAGAACACTGTGGCCAACTAAGCAGAGCTGGCTAGGCTAGAGAAACTCCATCTACCATCTGACTCAGCTAGAGAGCTGTTGAAATTTAATTGTAGTCAGAGTAGTTCAAAGAGGAGGAATTTTATAGGGTGATTAGGTCATGAGAACTTGTTCTCACGAATGGATCGGTGTGATCTTCAGGAGTCTGGGTTTATTATTACAGAAGTGGGTTCCTTATGAAAGGGGAACTTGCCTCCCCCCCTTACTGTCTTTCTCTTCGCCTCTAACTGTTCATCATGGTGTGTCAATCCAGAGGGCCCTCGCTGGCCACCAGACCCTCACTTTTGAACTCTTGATCTTTGTAACTGTGAGAAAGGCAGTTTTTCATTACAGGCCCAAACAGGGCTTCAGCAGCAGCATGGCCCATGGGCATCAACATGGCCTCTGACGGTAGCTCAGTACATACTACGCGGATGTACTGCTCTGCTCCTCCACCCTTCCTACCCTTCAATTGCAAATGTGTTCATTGCAGTGGCTTTGGAAACTGCGGCGCATCTCTCAGCATGTTTTTTGCCCTCGATGTTGTACATGTAAATGCTCACGAGTCGCTCAGTGGTCTGGCTCAAGGCCTCTGGTCTCCAAAGCACCGTAAGTACCGGGCCATTGCCTACACTTCTTTGATCACAGCCATATTTCAGGTTTTCATTTCCGGTGGCATGCTTCAGTTCTGGTCCTGTCACACCAACTCCTCCTCATGGTCCAGCATCTCATAGATGGAGGAGGTACTGTGTCGTGTAATATTGATTTAGACGTGTTACATTCATTTGTACTCTGGAATATTGGGGGGAGGGGTTCAAGGCAGGGTTTCTCAGTAGCTTTGGAGCCTGTCCTGGAACTCGCTGTGTAGACCAAGCTGACCTCAAACTCACATAGATCTGCCTGCTTCTGCCTCCCGAGTGCTGGAATTAAAGGTGTGTGCCACTGCCTGGCTAGAATATTTGTTTAATGATGCAAAGATGTGTCATATTTGTTTGATTAGATAAAATTAACTTGTGGTCAGAGGCTGAATCAGCAACTAACTGACAGGAAGTAGTAAGGAGAACCTATATGTAGCTAGGGTTCTTAAGTGGGGGATGAACAGAAGGAGTGAGAAAGAGGACACTAGGAGCCAGCCACCCAGCCACCCAGCCACCCAGCCACCCAACCACACAGCCATCCAACCACCCAGCCACCTAACTACACAGCCACCCAGCCACACAGCCACCCAGCCACCCAACCACAAGCTTCCCAGCCACCCAGCCACACAGCCATACAGCACCACAGAGCAAGAGAGAAAGTAAGATACACAGAAGAAAAGGAAAAAGCCCAGAGGCAAAAGGTAGATGGGATAATTTAAGTTAAGGAAAGTTAAGGCTAGCAACAAGCCAAGCTAAAGACAGGCATTCATAAGAAAGAGTAAGACTCCGTGTGATTTATTTGGGAGCTGGATGGCGGGCTACTCTCATCTGTTATTGGAGCTTCTGTGTTCCTTACAGTTGATTCACTATCTGGTGCCTGCCTGGACCCTCACAAGGAAGACCCAAAGCCACAAAATCCTGGAGCTAACAAAAGTGGCCAGGGTGACATTAGGAGGCTCTTCTAGGGACATCTTCATAAAGAAGGGACACCATGAAGAATGGTCCCTCATGGTGACAGCGGCAAGTACCGAGAGGCATGGGCTAGATGCCAGGAAGCCATTACTACAAGGTTCAGCGGGGAAGGCAGGGCCCATTGCAGGAAGGGCCAGGTACCTACCCCTTAAGTAACTGCCTTCCTTGGGCTCTGACAGGTGATCCAGCCAGGGCCTCTTAACCTTTCTCATGCTTTCCCAGGCCCACAGCCATTGGGTTTGCCACTTCCCCTTCCCCCTCTCCATCGAGACATCAAACCCCTTCCCTAGGACTCCTCCTCACTACCCTATGGCCCTCTGGTCACTCAGCTCCCACTCAGGGCAAAGGACAGATAGAAAGGGCTACACATTGTATTTCACTGTGCAGTGAGTAGCATCTGCTAAATCCCTGAATGCCCCAAACTTCACCCACTCCTCTTACATACAGACAATAGCCTCTGTCTTTCCTGGTCCCATGCCTTCCTGATTTCCTCCCTCCTTCTTCCGTAAGACCTCACTGTGCACCTTGCTGTCCCAGGCCTTGTGCCCTATAAATTCCTGGAGCCCAGTCCTTGACCTAATGCTGGGTACTCTAAGGCCTGTGGACATGGGGAGGGACAGAGCTAGCAGCAAAGCCCTCAGCTGTGACAGCGAGGCCCCCACTCCATTCCTGCCATGTGCTCCTGGAAAGAAATTAAAAGGAGTGTTATTGAGTGAAAGAGAGCTGAGCCATCAAGAAAACACAAAAGAGCCTGACCCCACTACTCAGTAAAATGGCAGCCTGGACAGGCTGTCCTGTGTGACTCCAACTACATGGCATTTCAGAAAAGACAGAGCCATAGAGACAAAAGCTCAGCAGAGAGGGGTGAGTGGGAAGGAGGGTTAGGCAGAATACAGCGACTTTTAGGGGAAAACTCACTCCCCAGCTTGCTCTTGCAGCCCACAGGGTTATAAGTGACTCCTTTTAAGATGCCATGTTTGGGGCAAATGCTGTGCAGTAACAATGGGTTCAGGACGTATGGGTGATACTACTCTGCCTATACAGCATCCTGTCCTCCAGAGGGACCACACTGAGCCACTCCAGGTGGGTCCAGGCTTCCTCCTTTCCATGCTTTGCCCTTGCATTCCCATCATAGCTTAGCTCCTGTCTTGGGCTTCCAGGAATCTGTTTGTGAAGCTGAGGGTGTTTATAGAGTAGAGTTAACTCCTGGGCTCCTGCCAATTACTCAACTCTCTCCCAAGGCTGGCTGCTCAGCTGTCTATACCATTCACAATGACGTTCCCTTCCCTGACCTCCCTTTGATCTTCTGCCATCGCCTCAAGTTCCTTTTTACTGTGTCCCTCAAAGAGCTGCATCTGCCATATAGAGATGTCTTGGGAACATTGTCTCGTGAGAGAGCCTGTCAGTGTCACAGCCCTTGCTGATGAGAGGTGAGCTGCATTCAGGCTTTGCTGTGGTACCTGACACCACAGTGCACGAAGACTGTGAAGGCTGGATAGACATCTTTCAGGGCAGTAGACAACTTCCAGACTCTCAGGCAAGGCAGAGGTTTGTTCAAAATTTAAAGCTGTTTTGCACCCTCCCCCAGTCTGAGATTTATTACTAAACGGGATTTGGTTGGGGGGCAGTGTAAACATAGCATAGTGGAAGACTTCAGCAGCACATGGACCCCACAGTTATCAGAGACGAACCCATTTTCAGATACCATGTTTCCATGCTCATCTGCATTAAACTCAATGAGGCTCCACTTCTTTGAGATGTGAACCTTGGCAGCCAGGGAACTTGAACTTGGCTCTATGTCGAGACTCGATCACACATTCCTCATTCCTCAGCTTGGTGCAAATGGACAAGATGAGCTGGCCAATGTGAACCCTAGCCACTGTGACCTGGGGCTTCCCAAAGGCACCTACATAATTGTCAGGAACCTAGGTTGGGTACACCATTGAGAGCAGACATTAATATCCACCAGAAAACTGTCTCCAGGCTCCCTTAGGGAAACCCATGTAAACATCAGGCTGCATGGCCCTCCCAAGAAGGCTGCTGTTTGTAGCCATTGCACATCAGGTCCCTAACTGGAAAGAAACCTGGTCAGGTTAGTTTATTGCAGGTTAATTGCCAGCCCCACCAAAAATGGAGGAGCAGGAGAGAAACTACAGTGTAGGCAAGTCTCCATGTGGGAAAAGCTGGATGCTCAGAGGACCATGGCCCCATCCTTGAGGAAGCATCTCTCCTTTGCATGCCTGTGCTCCAGGGATCAACTTTGCATTCTATCAGAAGTCACCTAGCCCCCTCTTCCCCAGGCTCCACCCACTTAGGCCTGGGTTTTAAAATCCTGAAGGCTTGTGGGAGAGTTCCCTACCCCCAGATAGGGGGTGGGGTGTGGGGTGGAGGAGGAATGGACGATGGACAGACATCTGTTTGTGGGAATGGATTTTAAGGATGTTTAGCCGAGAACTTTTTGTGTCCTGGGCTGCTAGGCCCCACTTGAGGCAGCATCCTGATGAGTTAGACCCCAAATGACAGCCATGGTGGGTCCTTTGCACCAAGTAGCTTTCACTTTGGTGTAAGCAGTGTAAACAACTATTCTCATTACAACTGATCCCAGATTCTGACTAACTCTGTTGCCTGTACCCCACACACTGGCTCGATGACACCTCCACACTTGTCACATCACTTCTGACTCTAAAGTAGTACCCTTCCCTAGAACAGAGGGAAGCAATGGGCCAGACAAAGACAACAAGGAACAGTCTGTTTCCCAGCCACTGGCCCTGGGGCTCAGGTCTTTGGAGATGATGGGAGAGTTGAGTCACCCTTTCAGAAGATGGCATTGACCAGCTGAGCACCTAAGAACTGGCTAAAGGTGTGTGTGTGTGTGTGTGTGTGTGTGTGTGTGTGTGTGTGTGTTGCAGGGTGGGGTTGGGGGCAGTGTCAGGAGATGTATGATGGCTAAAGTTATGTTTTAAATTTAAATCACTGTGCTGAAGAGATCTATATGTGCCTCTAACTGTAAAGCCCCACTTGCCCAAGGACAGATAACTTCTTGGAATGCTGGGGGGGGGCACACTGTTGTTGTTTATGTAAGATAACAAGCCATTTGTTTTTACTTCTGTAAACAAGGTGGGTCGCCCAAACTGCACAGGATGTGCTTGATCACACATGGGTGGGAGGTACATAGGCAGGAAGTACATCAGGATGCATGCTTGCCCCTGATTGGACAAAGGTGGGAAGTACATAGCCTTTATAAGGTGGGGTTTGCCTTTATAAGCCTCTGACTAATGTAATTTGATGTCAGACTCTGGGAATCTCAGATATGGACCTAGCCAATGTCCATCGTCCTCACCAGTACTTTATAATGCTTGCTTCAAATCGGTCTAAAAAATTGTGGTGGTGGTCTCATTCTCACCCAGTGGGATTAACAGATGAAACCACAAATGATGGCCTGAGACCCAGAGGACCATGTCTTGTGGCAGTAATCACAATAACACCTGTCCCCTTTCATCTTGGAGGGTGACAGTTGTTAGATTTACTATATTGTGGTTATTTTGTTTGCCTTTGAGACAAAGGCTGTATCCCAGGCTGACCTCAAACTCACTCTGTAACTAAGGATGACCTTGAACTTCAGCTCTTCCTGTCTCTGTCTCCCAAGTACTAGAGTCATGGGGATGTGCCACCAGGCCTTATTTATACAATGCTAGGGATGAACCTAGGGTTTTTTTTTTTTTTTTTTTGTTTTGTTTTTTGTTTTGCTTCTGTGTAAGCACTCCACCAACTGAGCTACATCCACAGGCTAAGATTTATTATTTAGTGCACAGGTTGTAGACATACCTAGTTCAGATTTCTGTGTGCAAACAACCCTGACACATTTTGTAGTTTTATGCAAAACCAGGAAAGTGGTGCTTGTGCAAGGCAGCTGCATGATAACATAGCATGATGGGTATAGTGTATGCCTGCATTCCTGTTTTGCGTATCTCTTTATCTCCTCTCAAACTGTGTCACTGGCTTCTGCTGTCCACTCCTTCACTGATGGAGTGGATCCAGGACCCATCCCTTCCTTACTGTCCAGCTTGCCCCCTCCCTTACGCCCTCTTCTTCATTCTTCCAGACTAAAATTGGTTACACAATGTGTTGTTATGAGCCTTCCATAATGCCCCATTGTCTGTCATCAGGGGTCACACAAAATCTGTGTGTGAAAGAGCAAAAAATGGCCATGGGGCAAGAGAGGACCTTACTGGACAAAATAAGGCAAGGGGGATGCTTTCCCAAGAGTGGTCACTTCTGTTCACAGAGATGCTGCAGAGGAGCAGTGGACAGTAGAGTCCCAGCTGGGCAGCTAGGACCACAGGGCAGCAGCACCTCCTGCATTAACACAGGTTTTTGCAAGGCGCATTTGTTCTGGCCCTGGGAGTTTCTGTAGTTGTGCTCACAACCAGGTACAAGAGACCCAGAGCTTTTGCCCATCTTGTCTGCACCCTGTAAATCTCCAGGGGGAAGGCAGAGGAGAAAGCATCTGGCTGGGTAACTTAAAGGGTCAAGGAGAGAGGAAGAAGCACCATGCCACATGCTGCTCCCGCTATGACCAGCAGGGGGCAGGCAGCCAGACAATTTTTAACAGGATAAGTGTGCATAAAGGAATATGGGTCTGTGTTCAGACACATAGTCCCGCTTTGTAGATGATTTTTGATGAGATGTGCACAGGTTCTAGTGGGGAACTGGCATCTGACTTCACATCCAATGACTTAAGGAAGGAAGCATCCTCTCACTAGGTTGCCTTGTTCATAGATTAGGGACATGTCATTTGGTTATTTTCAAAATATATGTAAGATATGGGGTCTTGCTGGGCAGTGGTGGCACACACCTTTTAGACCAGCACTTGGGAGGTAGAGGTAGACGGATCTCTGTGAGTTTGAGCCTGGTCTACAAAGCAAGTTCCAAGACAGGCTCCAAAGCTAGAGAACCCTTGTCTCGAAAAACAACAACAAAACAAAACAAAACAACAACAACAACAACAACAACAACACACACAAACACACACACACGGAGGAAGAAAGAAATGGGGTCTTGTGGGTGTTTTGTTTTATTTTACAAACTAGACGCCACTCTAGATTTCAGCTCCCTCCTTAGCCATAAGGCCGGGCGGTCTGTCCTTGGGCCCTGCCTTCTGGTCCCTGCATCTGGAAGCTGCAAACCCGAGTTCTAACTGTCCTGGTCACAGATCTGTAGGGTCTGGTGAGACTCCTCTTTAAAAGAGAGGCCAGGAGAACCTGGACTCCTGCCCAGCTTCAGCCTGAGGCACAGCCACCGCCAGAGCTTCTTCCCTACCCGTTTTTGGAGAACATCACGACTCCCCTGAATTCCAGCTCTGCTTTTCTCCATATGTTGGCAGGAACACTGGCCTGTAGGGAATTCCTGTGGTGTGAGCATGGCTGTCAGGCCAAAAATGAAGTTATGTTCTCACCTGTACAAACTGGAGCTTTGAAAAGACACCTAGCATTGAGGTGTAGCTCATAGGCAGAGTGGTTTAACACACTCAAGGAAGGCCCTGCTTCCATCCCTAGCACCAAAAAGGATCAGGGGCACCCCCCCATTTGTAAAAAATTGTTTATTGGAGTATAACAGCATAGGGTAGAAAGATTATAATCACCTTTAATCCCACTAACCAGAAAAAAAGGCATAATATCTTTCTAGAATTAATTCAAGGATATACATACACACATTGAAGTAGAGGTGGTAGATGTTATTGTATTATAATCTGCTTGTTAAGAGGTTTATTTTATTGTTAAGTGTGTGTGTGTGTGCGCGCGCCCGTGCACGCGCGTGCACACGCACGCCCACAGAGGCAAGGACACCAAAACTGGAGTGACAAGCAGCTGTAGATTTCTGAGTGTGGGTGAAGGGAACTGAACGTGGGTCCTCTGTAAGAGTGTCTTTAAAATATGTAACTAGTCTCTTAATATAATTAGGAAGGCTGCCATAATGACAACTCCAGGACTTATCTAGCATTCTATATATATTTAGAGTATCCACTACTGAAAATGGAATGTGTGAGGTGCAGGGTGGGGTGTAGCTGGGTCATGGAGGGCTTGCAGAAGGGCCCAGCTTCGCCCACAAGCTATGCAGTAACATTCCTATAGGAAATCTTCTGACCTTTTGTGATAATTTCCTTACGATGCACTATTGGAAGCAGAGTTTCTTGATGAGTGGTCTTTGAAACCTGGTGAAATTGTGCTGATCCTTATTCACCAGCCAAAACCTCCATGGCATTGGGTGTTATTTACTAAACTTTTTTTTAATTTACTCTACTACAATGTTCCCAATTATAAATAAGTTGCTCTGACATGCATTTTTCTTATAGCTTGTAAAATTAAATTGTTTTTATGTGTTGATGGGTCACTGGTTTTCCTTTTGTGAGTGGTCCATATTTTCCACTGATTTGAGTAGCTTGAACTTCCCCCATCATTATAATTTTTCAGTTTGCTAGTTCCCTCTTAATTTTTTTTCCCTCCACATTAAAAAGGATCTTTGTTTTGTCCCAAACCAAGAGACACCTGAACTTCTAGGCTCATACCTATCCTTCTACTCACAACAATAAAGTACAAAACCTAATGGCTGTGGGTAGAACAATGGAAAAGCAGACTGAGGCAGGACCCTTCCATGGAATGTCCCTCCACTGCTAGCAAGGCCTCTCTGGGTGCTCATGTAGGTCCTGTGGAGCTGAGTAGGTGGGTCACAGGTATTCAGGCAAACACTACAATGTGTGTTTGTGTGGTGTGTTCCCCGTAGAGTCAGTGTTTTGTATTGCTGGGGGCAGAGGTCCTTGTGCTCACAGATAACACTAGGGAAACCAGGAGTGTTAAACACATAGGGCTGTCTCTTCAAAGCAGAGATGTATAACCTATTCCCCCAGAAGGCAGTGGTTAATAGTTCAGGTATCCTCTGTGCTATCTGAGTGACCAAGACCACACCAGATCCTCCACAAGCCCTTATGATAATACATGTAGTCTATCTATAGAACCCATCATCAGGGAGGAAGTGATATGTACTTTGATAAGAGTTTCAAGGTAATTATGCCTCCTTGTACACAGAGGGTTGTGTTACACCAGGAAATTCTTTTCCAGGTTATACTATACTTAAATAAGATAAGCTGCCCAATGTCAGGCTCTAGATGTTTGAACCAACACTGTCTACTGAATCTGGTTGAACTGGACTTCCTTCTTCATTCACACAGATGTTACTCCACTGATCCTCCAGTATTTGGTGGCCCTCCCCAGGGCAGACACCCTCATCAATTGTAATGGTGCCACAGAAAAATTCAACTTCAGCATGACACAGAAGTGTGGGCACTTACCCACTGGGTCCTTCACTTTCAGCCCACTGTCTGAGAGGCTCCATGAGATGCCCACACTGCATCACACAGTAGCCTTTGCATGGGATAGTTCGTTCAGCCATAGACCGGTGCAAGCATTCATGGATGCGGCTGGCAAGGCTGAACTGGGATGGTCAACAGGTTAGCTCCACCTTAGTGTAATAGTTTTTCAAACACAAATCATTAATAGTCTTTCCTTTGGCCATTAGTTTATTATATGCCGAGTTAACTAGCATGGCCCCCATTCCATTTAATTTCTGGGATTTCTAGCGGATCCAGCAGTGGGATCTGGGATCCAGGGCTATGCAATTAGACTCCCAGCTCAGTGACACCTGTAACCACATGGTGACACTGTTTTACTGAGACCCTACCTGCATGTCCTTCAACCTCCCACGTGGAGCTCTCTAGCAGGAAGCAAGCAGAAAACAGAGTGCAAAATGCACTGAGCCCACCCAAGTTTGGTAGGCTACACCCCATTCATACCCATCCACACAAAAGGCCAGTGGCACTAATCTCTTTGGGGCTGAGGCAGCAATGGGTTTTGTCTGTTTCAATGGAAACTACTAGAATGGACTGCTCTCTCCTAAAACATGTACAATTCAGAGTAAGCCAATGGGGTCTTCTCATATGTACTTACGGAACACAGCATGAAGTCTGAGACGTTTTCTTGGATAAGAATTTAAAATGAAGAAATGTAACAACCAGAATTAGCTATACCGTCTTTGAGGGATAAAATGAAAAAAAATGGATTTATAGAGAAATTTTGTAATCAAGGGATTTTATCTCCATATCTGAGGTCAAAATTAACTTTCACAACAATTTATGAAATATATTTATTTTGAAGATCAGTATAATGTGTAAGTATTCTAGTCTAACTAAAAGTTATGATTTATAATTAAATATAATAATAAGTGCAAGTTTTACATTGAGATTTTGTGCAAAATATTTTATGATTAGTTAAGGACAATTGCCACTTGAGCAACTACTTGCTACACAGGTCAATGATTTGGTTTTGATACCTCATACTTTAGAAGAGACAACACCCTTCAGACAGATAGAACAGGTTATTCAGTAAAGATGGCTATACATTCAATAAAGCAAGTTACATTCTCATCGAGTAGGTCAAGTCTTAATCTGGATCCCAGGAAGGCAGTGGGGACTTTGTAGCTTGGAGCTCTAGGCACAGCCAGGCCCCGGCAGCAGGGTGTTGAGTTCTACACAGATCTATCTCCTTTGCCACTTTCCTGCTCAGCCACATTAGGATCTGAATGAGAATAATGACCCCTCACCTCCCACCCCGTGCTCACCATCTCCTCTCACCATCCGTCCCTTTCAGTATGTTCCACAAGCCCACAGCATTGTCCAACAGTCTCTGTCCCATGCGTTCGGAAGCCTCAGATCCTAACATCCCCCTGTTTATGACAGGAGCTGGTCCATGCTGTATGATCTGTAGGCCAGATTTATTCAGAAAGGGATCTCTCTAAAATTTTAAAAGCACAATTTCCTTGCATCGTGCTATGAGAACAAGAAAAGATTTATCCTTGAGGATCTGTGTGACATTAAACTTCAGGATCTTGAGGGATCTTTATAGAGAATGGGGGGTCCTCACTATGAAGCCTAGGCTGGGGATCAGGGGATCAAGGGTCTTCTAGCCTCAGCCTCTGGAACAGTTGTGACCAAAGATGCTTCAGTGGTATTCACAAAGAAAGCACTGCTTCTTGGCAAGAGGCCTAGTGTAGCTTAAGTCATCACAAAGGCACCATGGACAGTCACAACAGACTGTCACAAACACGCACCACGCACACTTATGGTGATACGCAACAAACAAGAAAGGATGCTTAAATGGAGAGCCGGCTCCTGAAGGTCAGAGTCTCATCACAATGGATGAGGTGGACATATCCACTTCCCCAGTTTTAATACTTCAACCCCTAACAGGAGCTGGGAAGACCTAACCCACCTTTCCAGGCGGTAGAGGGCAGGTGTTAAGCCTGGGTCCTGTTGACACTTGAGAGCTTTACTGACGCCCAGCAGCAGAAGATGCAGGCTTAGGCAGTGCTACGAACTTCAGCAAATAAGTGATGCAATAGCTACTGTTCTCCTTGACACACCCCGATGGAGCTGGGATTTGGTATGACATGTTCTCGACCCAGCATCTACATCCCCCCAGTACCTTCACTGCTGACAAACGCTGGAATTTGGCTCAAACAGTGAGTTTTGTTAGCGGTAAGTGGCAACAACTTAGAATTGATTGCAGTACATCTGTGAATTTCCTGGCTTGGGTACGATTTTAAAAGTATTGGTTTGGCAACCATTTAGTAGAGGAAGTCATTACAGATATCCCTGGAGAGAAAAGAAAGGAATTCATGTTAACTCTGCTATGAGGAAACCACCACAACAGCCTTAGAACAGTAAGTCTGGGACTGAGACTCTCACAAATTCTTTCTTTCTTAAGAGACTCCAAAGTCATAAAAGAAAAAAGAGCTATGTGTCCCTAAGAAGCCATAGTGCAGTTTCAACTCAAAATAAAGAATTACACCTTTCCTCATTAATAACAGTAAGACAGGTGTGAGCAGACTGCACACTGTCCAAAACCAAGAGACAAGAGCAGAGACATGTATTATCCTGCCATTGTAGTAGGAAGCTCAAGTTTATTTCTAAAGTTCAAGAGCAGTGATAAAGCCAATCCAGCCTAGCTGAGTAGTGCTGCATATGAAAACATTACATTCAACTGTGTAAAGGCCCATGGCATCTCTTAATTTTAACTGACCTTGATATTTCTCTACCTTTTAAAACCCTGGCCAGGGGACAGAGAGATGGTTAAGAGTACTTGCTGCTGCTACTGAAGTCTAGGGTTTGGTTCCCAGCACCCACAACTACATGTAACTCCAGGTCCAGGGGAATGATGCCCTCTTCTGGTCTCTGCGGGTACTAGGAACACATGCGGTACACATGTAGGCAAAGCACTCATACATATAAAACAAAAATACATAAATCCAAAAAGCCCAGACAGGCCATAATACTTTCTGTAGCTTACAAGCTTTGCTGGAACTTTCCTTTGTGACCTTTATTCTAAATTCACTCTAATTCCAGTAAATAAATAAAATGAAAGGAAAATACCTGACAATGTAAGTAATCCATGGAGTGCAAAAAAGCCACTTTAGACAAATGTCGGTAGTTACAATGGACTGACTCCTCAATGTGTGGGTGGATGCAAGTAACGGTCCATTTCAAAAGACATGACACAAAGTGCCGAGAAATCAAGTGACACGTGCCACTGGCCCTGACCTGCTCATCCCATGTATCTTTCAAATTAAGCTCCTTGTGCTTGGGGACACAGCTCAGGTGCCAAGCTTACCGAGCACATAAAACATCCAAAAGGAAAACAAGGCCATAAAAATGTTTTCAGAATATTTTTAAAGACCCAAACAAGCAACACAATCTACATTTTGAGTCACTCTTTAAAATAAAATGTGATTTGATACAAAGAAGATAAAAGGTCAGAGAAGAAAACAAAGAGGCAATTTAGGGCCAAAACCAGATCGCCTTCACCTGACCCCATGCTGGTTAAAAAGGAAATGAATGTACTGGTCAGCAGCAATGGGGTGGGGGAAGCCGAAACCGCCTGGGCAATGGCAACTCCTCCATACTCTGCAGGGAGAGCCAAGCAAAAGCTCAGGAGAGCCCACGTGCTCTCATTCCCACCAAAGGCCTGGATAAGAAAGACTTGTCTGCCAAACCCTTGTGCGGTGCCTGTGGAACTGGCTAGGTGGGCCTTCTTGGGGTCAAGGCAAGCCTGGTCCTCCATGTCACCCCAGAGGTTAAGAAAGTCTAACCAACCAAAAATGTGCACATGAGGCTAAGAGACCAATGTTGAATGAAAAAGGCTACTGACCAGACCCCAAGCCTACCTCCAACCAAATCTCCAGCCTCAGAAAGATGTAAAAAAGGAAAAATCCCTGCCACTGGGGATGCCTAAGCTGTAGGGTTTTATTTTAATTAAAACGAAACAACTCTGAGACTTTCAAAAAATATCCTCAAATTATGAAACAAAAAGTTAAATGTCTAAATGGTGACTGTGGGCTGGAACTGCCTGGCACACCCCCCTGAAGCGACAGGTGGACAGTGCAGCTCATCACGTGGTCACTCACTTTTAGATAGGATACAGAGCCAGCCTAGATGTCCCTCCTATACATTTCTCTCAGATTACCAGTACCCTCCCTGTCCCTCTTAAATGATGCCCAAATTGAATTTTAACATGATTATCTCTGGGCCAGTGTCCAATATATTTAAGTAAAACATCCTTTGTCAGTAACCCTAAAACTGCAGCTGTAGAAACATCTCAAACCAAACAGAACCCAACCTGGCCCACCTCACGCACAGAAAGAAAACAGGAAGCTCCTACCTCACTCTCAACAGACAGCTGAGATTTGATCATGAGTGTTTACTGGACCAGCGCAGTCTGTGAACTGCCAGAGAAGCCAACAGGGCATTCCCCCTCGGCAGAGCTTGGTATTTCTGAGAAAACCCAAATGATTTCAAATGCAGCTGTTATCACCAATCCACCAGCATGGTGCTAGTGAGATGAATAACTTTTTAATTTAACCAAGATACATAATATATAAACATGGCATTTCCACCAAATGCTTGCTTCTTGCCTCTCCTCCACATCCATTCTTCACAGACATTTTCACACAGCTCCTTGGTTAGCTGTCTGAGGAAATCCTTCCCCATTCTATCATGACATTCATTCCCACAGATTCCCTCCTTCATCCCAGAGATGTATACACCACCCAGAGAAGGAGGCTACTACAAGTGTCTTTTTGCAATCCCACCTCTAGGATGACCTGGGGACCAATACAAACTTTGTCTTGCAATCCACTTTGGAGGAAAAATACCCCTAATAAAATTATACCCCTTGCCTATTTCTTTCCACCACCACCATTCCTTCATATCACAATGACTTCATGCACATTCAAGAACAAATGACACTGAATAGTGAAGACCAATATATCCAGAGGAGCAGGGCCTTTTAGCAAGCTCTATAGTATATTCTATTCTTAGAAAAGTTGGCAAACTCCTAAAAGAATTCTGACTTTGTAGGCCATTCAGCCTTGGTCAGAACTACTGAACTTAGACACTGCAGCAGAAAAACAGCTAAGACAAGAAGGAAACAACTGTGTTTATGAAAAACAGGTAGCTGGCCATCAGAATGGGACTTCAGAAGCCGATGGAGTGTCTCTACAGATGGACTCATGTAGCTACAGCAGCCCCCAGATAGAAAGAAGGACCAGGAGGATTGGTACCTCATGAGGGGCTGGGACTCACCTTGACAATCATAGCTGCAACCATAGCCACGCATGCAAGCATCAGCATTACCAGCCCTCCTCTGTTGAACTGTTTCAGCAGGAAGAACTTGGCCCAACCGACCTTGGATTGGCTGTTGGGAGGGTACCTGAGCTTGTTAACACTTTCTCCCTTTAGCCCTTTTAATAAACAGGGGCGCTGATGAGAAAAGGTATCAAAACTGTACTTCCCATGATAGGCCCCCATTCCACTGGCACCTGAAATGAATGGAACAGATGGAACAAATTTCATTATACGGGCTTCCCATTTCAACACTGACTGAGAAAGCCTGAGTGTGCTCTGCTGGGGGTGTAGACACCTAACTTACTTGCTTTTCTTCTCAGAAATCCTACACACTTGCCCCCCCCAGCACAGCCACTGCCCTCTCAGCCAGGGCGCTTTCCATGAACAGGGCCAGGATCTGCAGCCCTTCTAGGCTTGCGCTGCCCTTTATGTCAGAAGTGTGCTAAGAGTTTCAGTGAGTTCTTTGGGGGACTCCCACCCCAGCCCTGTAGTGGTCTGTACCTCTAATCTAGTTTCCAGACAGGAAAAGGAGTTTACAGACCTAGTTGATCTGTCTAAGGTCACATAGCTGCTAAAGGAGGGACCTAAAATGTGAACCCAGATTAGTATGATGTTAAATGCTATGCCTATGCTTTTTTTTTTTTTTTATCATCAGTCCACATAGCCTTATTTATCCGTGGCTCCTCTCACTTGCTTCCTCTAAGTCCTTGAAGAGCAACCAAGAACACAGTAACTAGGTAAGAATAAGTAAGGAAAAATCTTTGTCTTCCTGGGAGCCACACCACACTTGTATAATTCACAATGCATACAATAGACTGGCAGGTGCAAAATGCCCTGTGCAGTGCAATGGCATGTATGAGGCAATGGCAGAAGGCAGAATGACTGGAAGCCAGGGGACAGTTGGTTGGGGTCAGGCCACAGGTGACTTAACTGTTTTGATGGAGGGGGTCATTTCAGAAAGCAAGATTGATCGATTCATTGGAAAGATAATGAAACCAGAGAGAAAACTGGAGGACAGTGAGGGAGGAGAGAAGAGTGGCCAGCAAAAGCCATGACCATGGTAGGAAGGACCCAGGAGAAAGGACCAAACTGTCCGTAATGCTTCCCCAAGAACAAAATGACATCTGCCCATCATCTAGAGAATAGGGGATTGTCACTTTCTCTTCCTAAAATCAAGCAACATGCAAGGAAAGGCTGTCCCTCTCCAAAGAGGCTTGAGGAGCTAGGGTAGCAGCACTGACTACCCTTCAACATCACCTGGAGTAGAACCCAAAGGGATATCAGGAAATACTCTGTTCCTAGCATTCAAAACTTTTCTTTCCTATATCTTACTTAAAAAGAGAGGTCTTACTAATTAATTTGAAACATGATTCTTGGTCTTTAAGCCTCCTTAATTTGGTAGCAAAAGTAAGGAAAGTAAGTGAAGACAGCCACTATGACTGCTGTGGTAATGAGGACAAAGAGAGTAATTCACCGGAGATGGCATTGGACAGGGAATCAGGAAAATGTCACCACCAGCTGGGTGGCTGGAAGGATTCTCAGAAGAGGACAAGCTCACAGGGACCTACACAATAAACAGCACCCAACTTTCAACAGCCCATACAAGAAATCCAGGAATCATGCTTCTGGAATATTTCTATTCAGGAGAAGGTCACTGCAGTGATTTGGGGGCCACCAGGATGGCCCCCATAGGCTCCAATTTTGAATGTCTGGTCCTCAGTTAGTGGAACTGTTTGGGTAGGATTAAGGGGCATGGTCTTGTGGAAATGTGTCTAGTCTTTTTGGAGGTGTACCACTGGGGTAGGCTTTGAGGTTTCAAAAGCCCATTCTAGGTTGAGCCTGGGTCCCTTTGCCTGCAACTTGCAGATCAGATAAACACTCTTAGCTATGGCTCAGCTCCATGCCTGCCTACCTGCCTCCATGCTCCCTGATGCAATGATGATGGATTGACTCTCTGAAACTATAAGTAAGCCCCAATTAAATGCTTTCTCTTTTAAATTGTCTTGGTCATGGTGTCTCACCACAGCAATAGAACAGTGACTAAGACATTCATTCTTACCCACACCTCCAAAGGGCAAAGAATTGACGGTGAAGTGCATGATGACATCATTGCCTGTGACTCCACCGCTGGATGTTTCATCAATCACCCGTTTGATGAGCTGAGGAACACACCAAAGGCACCATGTCAGAGCTAATGTTCTGTCACCCTATATCTTGGAAGTGCACTCATTGTGGGCTCTAAGGACATGCATCCTGGCTTTGTGTGCTGGGGCAAGTTTTTAAGTTTGGGGAGACACAAAATTTATGCCATAAATTACTAAAAATATTGTTTAAAATTATCTTCAGGCTATGTGTATACTGATTCATGAAACACAGAAGATGCTTAAACTTGCTTGGCTCCTGTCTCCACGACAGTTCATTTATAGGCAAATATTCCAAAAATCTAAAAACCCGTAGTCAAGCCAGGTAGTAGGTAGCACATACTTGAATCTTTGCACTTGAGACCAGGAGGAGCATGAGTTTAAGACCAGCCTAGGGTGCACAGTGAGATACTATGTTTAAAAAAAAAAAAATCTAAAATGTTAAACACTTCTGGTCCTCAGCACATCAGTCTTTAGATAAAGAGGGTGGCCCTGAATCTCTGGGCCTGTTTCCTTGATCACCATCAAGATCTACACTCCAAAACAGTACTAACAAGAGACAGTTTAGAAATGACTACTTCTCTCAAGTGGCACTGACCAAAAGACTTCTGCCCTGCTGAATAGCTTTCACAATACCAGGAAGTGCTAAACAGGCTACAGGGGGCTGGGGGGATGGAGAGAGTCTACCCAGCTGTGAATCCTATGAACTGTAATAATGACCACAAGATATGCCTGTAGGTGCAATATGGCATGAATGTTATAGGAGTAACTAACCACTTTCTGCTTGGATTTAATTTCCAGTTCCACAGGAGGAAACATTCCTGGCATTATAAATCTGATGGAGAATTCATGGCCAGGGAGCTCAGAGGCCCTAATGATGAACCTATTACTAGATTTGCTAAGTGGACTTAGTGTCAAACTACCCTCTAAATTTGCATTTCCATACCCATAATTAATATGCTTCTCAGATCTACAGAATGCTCAGCCTCAAATAGGACTGAGGATCATCAAGGTAGGGGTGAAAAGATTGTTAAGAGTCAGAGAATGGGGAGCAGCAAAACAGTCTTTCAGAAAAGACCACTGCACTCCTGAAATCACAACAGTTGTAAGTGACCACATAAGATCAAGCTAGTCAACACGCCAGCATGGAAGGGAAAGGGACTCATAAGTCCCTATGCTGTAGCTGAAGAGATATTGACAGATTTTGGGAGAGGGAGAGGGAGAGGGAGAATCAGTTTTCTCTATAGATATGGACCTTAATATCCAACCATGCTCTAGTGGATGACCCCACACCCATGAGTAAACAGGCAAATTAGAGTTAGGGGCAAGACTGAGGAATGAATGTGATCATACTACATTGTACACATGTATGAAATCCTCAGGGCAAATAAAATGGTATATTAAAATGATAATTTCTCAGCTGAACAGTGGTGGCACACGCCTTTAATCACATTGAGTTCTAGGACAGCCAGGGCTACACAGAGAAACCCTGTCTTGAAAAACAAAACAAATAAAAAATTATTTCTCAATTCCTGATCTAAATTATAATGATTAACAGATATGAAGTGCAAAAGATGTTAGAATTATTCTATTTTTCAAAAAATAGTTAGTTGTCCTAAGATAAAAAAAAAAAAAAAATCCCTCAATAACACTGAAGTAATGTAAGCCTTGAGAATTCAAGGTGAACGTCAAATGGGACTGCAGTGGCCTCAGGGAAGCGCTCTCCACAGATGCATCCTGCTAGTGACCTTGCTGAATCATGCTCTTGTATCTCAAGTACCTGTAGCCATGAGAACATCACCAGCACTGCAGGCTCCTGAAGCCACCCTGTGACTACAGCACCTTCCATCAGAAACTGCACATGGCACCTGGTCAGTGAACTCCTCACAACGGCTGGTCCCTTCTTCCCTTCTCATTTTTATTTTTCCAGAAGGATGCTGAACCTACATGGCCACTTGGAAGCAGTCATCTGCTAAGAGCAAGCCACTTAGTAACATGAATGACAGAGCACATAGGAAAAGACAAAGCTCCTTGTCCAGTGGTACAGGGCTGTCATCCTTTGGGAAGCAGAAACTCAAGTTCTCACAACCATTTATATGATTTGCCAGAGGTCTTTGACTTCCCCAGCCCTGACTGAGTGGCTAGGAAGGCCAGTTGTGTCACAGGGGCAGGCTCTATGGGTCTACGCCACAAAAGCATTACACACTAGTACATGTAAGTTTTCTAATTATTCAGGAGGTGTTTGTTACTCAGAAGCCTTGTGACATTCACCCCTGTGGATTCAGCTCTAACTCCAGGGAGTAAGGGAAGGAGTACAGTGATAACCCAAGGCTCCATTATCTAAGACAGCAAACTGTGAATACAGTCAGTCAACTCTGGTATGTAAATAACCATCTATGTTCTCTAGCAATAAAGAAACCCGACTCTTGAGAGGGAATTATTCTCTATAAAGCTTACCTTATTGTTATGAGAAAATATGTAGAGTGCCAGGGGCTTCTCACGATCATTTATGAAATTAATGGCTTCATCTACATTTTTCACAGACACTATTGGAAGAATTGGTCCAAAAATTTCTTCTTGCATCACCTTGGAATTAGGATCAACATCAGTAAGTATGGTTGGGGCTAAAAAATAAAATAAAGTACCATTAATGGTCAAATTTAAGACAGACCAAAAAAAAAAAAAAAAAAACTCTATCTTCTCTTTATTTCACTAGTCAGCCATCCACTAGGCATACCTATTGGCTTATCCTCTCACAGTGTGCCAGACCTAGCTTTGGTTCACAGAAACCTCACCTGCCCCCAAAATCTGCTTTCAAATCTACCATTGAGCTCAGGGAGAAGTCCTAACTAGACCAAGCTAATCTCAATAGCTCTTCCTTCATCTTGTCTTTGATTGGCCCAGAAATGGGTCACATTGCTACCTAGGAGATGAGAAGAGCAGCAAGAAAGAATTGGTTTTCTGTTTTGTGTTTTTGATGGTATTAACAACCACTGAACCATCCAAACCAGGAGACTCTCTATGAATTTCTAATTATTTGTATCCTTTCAAGTTTTTTTAATGGCTGATAAGAAAAGATAAGTAGATTAATTTGGTGGTAGCTTCTTTGCCCACCAAATGTGAGAATTTTATTTAAAAATTAAAGTAAGAGCCCTGATATGGTTCAGCCAGTAAAGGTACTCACCACTAAAGCCTAATAACCTCATTTCAAACCCTGGAGCCCACATAGAAGGCAATGCCTCCCTCAAGTTGTCCCCCGTCTTCCATATTGTGTCAACTTTTGTTATTTGAGAAGAGGAACCTCAACCGAAAAAATGCCTCCATCAGATTGTCTGTAAGCAGGTCTCTTAATTAATGACTGATGTGGGTGGGCCCAGCACACAAGGAGGATGTGCTACATTGAGCGGGTGGTCCTAGGATGTATAAGAAAGCAGGCTGAGCAAGCCATGAGCAGTAAGTCATTGAGCAGTGGTCCTCCATAGCCCCTGCTTAAGTTTTTTGCCTTCAGGCTCCTGCCTTGCCTTCCCTTGTGATGGAGTGGGACTTAAGAGTAATAAGTAATAAGATGAAATAAACCCTTTCCTCTTTGTCTTTGGTGATGATGTCTTAGCTCAGCAATAGAAAAGTAACTAAGATAGAACCTGGTACTACATCATGCATATTACAGTGTCAGACCGAGGTCTGGTTTTGGAGGACTGTGGAGGGAGTCTGAGCTGGAAAAGCCACTGATTGCTCAAGGCTTACTGAGCTCCTGTGTGAACCTGGAAGTAAATGCTGAGAACAGTTCAGTGGAGCTGGCCTGATCCTGAGACAGGCTGTGCTGTGCTGTGCTGTGCAAGACAGAGCTGGAGAGCTCGGCCGTCTAAGGCCTTTGGAACAGAGGATGGTGCGTGGGTCCCAGATGCTGAGCTTTACACTGTTGAAACTCAATTATAATTGTGTCCTGATTCTTCCCTCCTGGAGTAGAAAGTATGTGATTTTATTTATTTTGATTTTACAGAAACCCACAGCTGAGAGAACTTGGATTGTTGGAGAAACTTTGCCATTTTAGAAAGAGTTGAGTTTTACAGAAACTCTGGATAGCTAATGAAACTGAACTTAAAATGTCTGAATTTTTAAAGACGATGAGACTTTGATATTAATGTGAGATCTTGGGAATGAACCAGGAGGGGAACATTATGGCTTAATAAATAGTATGTGTGTGTGCATCAAGCTGACAAGTGGTCAATAGTGTTACTTAGTTTTATGTCACTTAACATAAGCTAGAGTCATTTGGGAAAGGGAACTGCCAAGTGAGAAAATGCCCCTACCCAGACTGACCTGCAGGCAAGCCTGTGGCGCGTATTCTTGATTAATGATTCGTGTGGATGGGCTCAGACCACTCTAGGTGGTGCCAACCCCAGATAGATGGTCCTGGGTTGTTTAAGAAAGCAGACTAAGCAAGTCATGGGGAACAAGCCAGTAAGCAGCACCCATCCATGGCCTCTACATCAGTTCCTGCCTTGAGTTCCTACCCTGACTTCCCTCAGTGATTGAGTATGAGCTGAGAGTTGTAAGATGAAATAAACCCTTTCCTTCTCAAGTTGCTTTTAGTCATGGTGCTTTATCATAGCAACAGAAAATTAAGATACTATGGTACCTCTATGTATACCTACACACACAACACACACACACACACCAAAAAGGATGAAAAATTAAAATAAACAAACAAATTAAATTCAATGTAACATGGGCTAGGGATAGAGCGCAATGGTGGAGGACGGCATTGCATGCATGGGACCCTTAGGTTCCATATAAAATGAAACTTGATACAAGACATAGTCATGGCAAAAGGCAAAGTACACAAAGAATGAAATGTGACAAGCAACAAGATAAGCACAGCAGGTCAAAGCACTACTTCTGGAAAGACTTGGCATGAATTAATTGTGGGATTATGAGCTGCTTTCTTATCCATGAATGGGAATAATTATGTAAAATCCACTCTGTCTCTTATGACTTTAGAATAAAAGAGTCGAGTAATATACATGAAAATACAAGACAGTATTAAAGTTACATGCACATATGCATTAAAAAACAGTACACAGAAAAAGCAATATTTACAGTTTATGTAGGATTAGTAAATGTTGGTAAAAATGCCAAACTGCTACTTCCCATGGGAAAGGGCGAATTTCCATTACCTATGTAACGTGTGACCTCATCAGTCTCCCCGCCGAAAGCTATCTTCTGTCCTTCAAGCAAACTCTGTAACCTTTTAAAGTGACGAAGATTGATGATCCTTTCGTAATCAGGAGAATCTTTTATATTTTCCCCATAAAAGTCCTATTAAAAATAGCAGGAGTTAGTTACTTAATTGTCGCAAAACCCATATTTCAATTTCTTTAATAAGTTCAAAAAAATACTGGTGTCTAAAAGTTGACCTGGTTTATATCTTCATATAACCCAACACCCACTCTTCAAATTATTTAGTAATAGTACAGTAGTAGTAACTTTGAGCTTTTAGACAAGTCAAGAATTAACAAGTAAGTAGACACTCAGACACACACAATCCTCTACACACACACACCTTCTGCCTATACTTTTCTTCAGGTGCCTATAGATCTCGAAGTCCCCTCATAGCCCTTTTTGGAAGATGTCAGGGAAGAGGCCACTGGCTTGCATGTCAGCTGGCCTCTCCCAGAGGTAAGTTGGGCAGTTACTGCAGAGACTCTTTGGTCTTTGAATGCTAAATATTAACTCTAATCTAGCCTTTACCAAGGAAGTTTGCTAACCTTTGCTCTATGTTGTTGGTTTTGTCTTCTTTGGACTGGTATTTTCACCAGTCACTGATAACAGCAAAACTATTCAATGTATAAAGATACAGTCTTGTTGAATTACCAAAAGAAAACACCCTCAATAAGGATAACCAGTATTTACCATGTAAAACAAACAGGTAATGTGGACTTGCTGGGAAGCTGACAGCCCTGTGAGAATTCAGAATCTAATGTTGAACCACAAAGGTTGAACTCACTGGGCAGCCTGTTGAAATGCATGTTCTGTCCAAGTCCAAGGCCACCAACACAGCCAGGTTTCCTAACTGACTGATTCACAGACGAACAAGCTGGGGGTGGGGACCACATCATATCAATCATGATCTTTGATGATATGGGCTAGAGACTTATTTTTATTTTATTTTTTTAAAGATTACTCATTTATTTATTATGTATACAGCCTGCATGTATCCCCTGAGGCCAGAAGAGGGCACCAGATCTCATTATAGATGGTTGTGAGCCACCATGTGGTTGCTGGGAATTGAACTCAGGACCTCTGGAAGAACAGTCAGTGAGTGCTCTTAACCTCTAAGCGATCTCTCCAGACTTATTTTTAAATGGCTCCCTAATTATCCCAGCATGTTATCTGGCTGAGAACTCATGTCATAGCACAAACTTCTTAAAGGTAGGGTAAAGGGATCACTGATCCTCTGGAATTTATCATCATATTTCCAATTGAGTTCAGTCTCCCAGCAACCTCAACCCTCCCTCCCACTCCTATCTCTCAGATCTAGACAACTTTCACATTCTCCTTTCCTGGATCCTCAGGCTTCATAATTAATGAGGCTCTCACTTACCCTCTCTCTCTACCTGGTACAGTTTTCATTCTCTCTTCATACATTAATTACTTTGTGGTACGCTCCATCCTTTCAATTAACAAGAAGTTATCTCAACAAGGTGGCTTACTAGTTAGTCTTTGTACCTGAACTCAGTACCCTTGGTCAAACATTCTTTAACAATGAACATCCCACATCTCCTTCAAGCCTTAGCTTATTACCAGAGCACAGTCTTCATTAGTTCCTTTACGTACCCTAAAAGATGGATAACCCTCTCCAGCAGCAGTTCTCAACCTGTGGGTCACAACCCCTTCACAAGGGTCAAATATCTGACAGCCTGCATATCAGAGATTTACATTATGATTGGTAATAGTAGCAAAATCACAGTTATAAAGTAGCAATGAAAGGTTGGGGGTCACCACAGCATGAGGAACTGTATTAAAGGGTAGCAGCATCAGGAAGGTTGAGAAATACTGCTCTACAGGGTACATTTTAAGTAGGTATTTACTTCACTCCTTCAGATGACTGGCCATCTGGCCCTCCATACACATGACAACTGATAACTGTCTTCAGCAACAACGGCTCTCTCTTCAAGTGATTTGGAAGCATTCTCTCAAAAGCACAGAAAACATTTTTTACTTTTAAATCAACAAATCAACTACACAATTTAAGTGGTCTTGCATCAACTTGGCCTTGTTCCCACAGACACACACTAAGTTAATTCAGACACATATGTTGCTGGAATTGTCTGGGTTGGGGTAAACGTGAACAGAGATGCTGTCTGAAAGCATTTTGGCTTTCATCAGTGGGATAAGAACATCGAATACAGACCTTCACCGTTTCCTTAATCTTCTGCACTATCCGATCCTGGAGGGAGGCTTCACAGAGGATATAGTCTGGAGCAATACAGGTTTGACCACAATTCATGTACTTTCCCCAGGTTATGCGTCTGGGGAGAAAAAAGCAAAAACAAAACCAGAATACCTATACAATTCAGTCATCTTTCATCGTTATTTTGTTTCCCAATGTATTAGGTACTTTGCATATTGCTGTGACAAAACTTCTGGCAAAAGCAACTAAAGAAAGGAAGAGGTGACTTTGGCTCACAGTTAAAGGGTACTGCGTCACAGCAGCGGGGAAGTCAAGGCAGTGGGTACATAACACTGCTGGTCACATGGTACCCACAGCCAGGGAAGAGAGAGCAACCAGTACTTATGCTCAGTTTGACTCAAAAATTTTTTTCCACCCAGAACTCCATGTTTAGGGTGGGTCTTCCCACCTCACTTAACCTAATCTAGACAATTCCTCACATACATGTCTAGAGAGTTGCTTCCTTCCATAGTAATTCTAAATGTCATCACATTGATGACAAAGATTAACTGATCATCTGATAAGGCTTTGTATATTTATTTATTAATGGTTAACCTCAGGAGAGTAAAGCCAGTCCCACCTGCAAGCGATGTCCAGATCACAGTCTCTGTCAATATAACATGGGCTTTTTCCCCCGAGTTCCAGGGTCACAGGGGTCAGGTGCTTGGCAGCAGCTTCCATGACGATTTTTCCAACTGCAGTGTTTCCTGTGTAGAGAATGTGATCAAACCGTTGCTTCAGGAGCTCTGTGGTCTCCGCGACACCACCATTAATAACCGCATACAGGTCCTCAAGAAAGAGAAACAGATTCTTGCATTGTCAAATCAATCTAACTATCTCATGTCAGCAATTCTTCAACACAAATAAGTAGCACTCAGTAAAACCAAAAGATGAAGATCATTTCCTGCGAGGGACAGATCAAATGGAGGACAAAGGATCTGCTGGGGACCAGGAACCATCAACTTCAGACTGACTCAGAGACAGAGTCTAATATTTTCTACATGAGTTTGGCAATGAAAGCACAAATGAGAGCAAACAGTTGGACTCAACAGGGAAAATGCGGAAGATGAGGGGAGGGTATTGTGAGGGACTTTCATTGCTGTTTTGTACAGTGCTGGTGATCCAACCCAGAGCCTAGTACACACATTAGGCATCGCTCTACCTCCCGAGCTGCATCTCCAGCCCTACAGTTACACGTCTTAATTCCAAAGTTCTCTCTCTACACAATACAAAGTATAGTAGGTCTAAGCCCAGGGCAAATAAGTCCGTATCTGCCCAATGAACAGGACACAGAGCATTGTAGCTGAGGGCACTTGCTTTTGAAGTAGATCTGCACAATGCCCATCACATGTACTATGCTACCATTAAGTAGCCACTCTGAGAGAAGATACTTTGAATAATAACAGCAGGGACAAAAAGTAATGACAACAAATGGCAAGAAAAACATGAGATGTTTGCAAGTGTCTAAGCTGTATGATGATGGATAAGCTGCCTTATCAACCTCTAGTCCTCATTTGATCTCTTGCTCATTAAACTAGTTAGTTCTTAGTCACTTTGTAGTTCAACTGACTAATGTACTTTAAGTTTTAATTTTTCTATGCTTAATCCACAGGTAAATTCACCAACTACTTAAGTGAAGCAGGTAAATCATTATCTCCCCATTTGGACAGTCAACTTGGTGAGGAGCAAATGGAGACCCTAATCCTTTATCTTCTGGTTTCAAGTCCTACTCAATCCATGACACTTTACTGTTTTCCATTTAGTCCTGCTAGATTGGATAGCCAAGCTATTAGGGAGGCAACAATTCTGCCACTGAACCACCAATGCACTCCTAACCAAGCTATTAGGACCAAATTGTTCTAAGAACTATGATGACAGTGGTAAGACAATATGGACAATAAAATGACTCTAAGTGCTAAAGTTGGTCTCAGGGACATTACAAATTAATAAACAATACAAATTGGTGTTTTAAAGTTGCCTTTTGATGAAAGCTAAATGAATAATCTCCCCTGCAAAACTGCTTGTGGAACCCAGCAGTCACGAAGCAATCAACTTCCTCTCTAGAGATCATGAGAACTTCTGAATCTAATCCCCTATCCAAAAGTGGGGTATCAATCTCCCTGGTCAGCCTTCGATGCTCCCAGTGCCTATTCAACTCAGAGTGCTAGTTCAGAAAGGCACTTTCTTCCTGGCCACAGACATGCCTTTAAAAAGCAGAGTACTCATGTAATAACACACATGATGTTCCACTAGGAAAAAAAAAGATAGTGACAAAAACATGCTAGCTTCTCATTAACTATCTCACTAAAAGAATGATGTCTAAAATTGTATCCTAGGAAGTGTCAAATGGTAGAAAAAGGTAAGAGACACATATAAAGCCACAGGCCTTAATAAACTATGTAGCCACAATTGATGGAACCTGGCTTCTTTTATTAAACCAATTGTTGGAGACTTAAGGAAACCAGACTGATCTGTAGCCAGCAATGACATCACTAGCAGAAGAGTCAAATCTGTGTTTTCTACCATAAACAGATGTGTTGAAGATGGACTAAGATATTCTTACCTGGTCTAAATATTGAGGGAGGAGCTTAGCCAAGATCTTGGCAGTGTTTTCACTTAGTTCTGAAGGCTTTACAATCGCAGCATTTCCTGAATCAAATGAATAGCAGAACATCATCATCCAATTCCTGAATAACTTTAACAGCTTCCAAAATGACACGTGTGGAGAGTGCATGCTAAGTTTCATTTATTTCTGCAGCTCTTACATCTGTCCTACCTCACATCACGTGTCCTCCTTCTTTTCATGTTTTCCTTCCCAAATGCTAACCCATTAGATCTCAGTATCTTCAGGTCACTGACAATAGGCTCTCCCAGCCTCTCATTCTGCCCAGATGTCTATTGCTTTGCAGTTCTACCATGTTTTTTTCTCTCTGCCCTAGAATCACTGAGCAAACAGGCTAGGTCAACATAAACTGTTGACAAACTAAGAAATCAATCTGTTGAGATCTGCTGTATACTCTAGCTAGTTTTATACCAAATACCTTTACTTGAATAAAGAAACTGGTCAAATGAAACCAAATGGCTTGTTTTCTAAAGGCTGAGATAGCAACTAAAATTACATTAGAATATGGATGCCTGACTCTAAGATCCTGGAACTACTGACTCAGATGCCTCTGGCTTACACAGATCCATCTCCTAGGTACTTCCACATTCATAAACAGAAGTACAGATATGAATTCTCAATAAATTGCTGGTGTCAACCATGGCAAATCACCAAAGTAAATGTATTTAACTAGATACCATCATTAGATTACAACCAATACGGCACAGTATGATTCTCTACACAGCAATAAAGATATCCACTGGCAATAGACCTGCAGCGATGGCCCCCACCAGGGGCTGCATGATGAGAGCGAAAGGGTAGTTCCAAGCTCCGATAATCAGTACTACTCCCAGAGGCTCTGGCTGAACATAGGCCTCATCCAACATGGTTAGAAGGTTCTTCTTGGCTGGTTTAGCAGAGGCCAATTCAGGAAGATTTGCCAGCATAAAATCAATTTCCCCAAGTAAGGTAATAACTTCATGACTGTATGCGTTGAGTTCACTCTGAAAAAGAAAGTCAGTTAATCTTACAAGGAGAGTACAGTCCACTTGGCTTAGGACAATGGCTCTCAACCTGTGGGTCTCAACCCCCACAGCTGTCACATATCAGATATTTACATTTTGATTTGGAACAGTAGCAAAATTACTGTTAAGAAGTAGCAATGAGGGCTGGAGAGATGCTGTAGAGGTTAAGAGCACTGGCTACTCTTCCAGAGGACCTGTAATGATATCTGCATATATGAGTAAATGGATAAATCTTTAAAAGAAGAAGGAGAAGGAGGAGGAGAAGAAGGAGAAGAAGCAGCAGCAGCAATGAAACAATTGTACGATCGGGGTCACCACAACATGAGGAACTGTATTAAAGGGTGTAGGTAGAAGTTTCCTGTTCAGGCAGCTGATTTATTATACAGCAGAAGGGTCAAAGCATTAGGAAGGTTGAGAACCACTGGCTTAGGATGTCACAGGCTCACCAATTCTATCTGCAGGGACAACTGGTGTTATTAGGCAACCCTCCCCACAGTTTGCTATCAGATTTTGTTCTCAGTAAGACACACCCTGGATACTCTTGCTGGATATACCTCTCGAAGATATTCAATGCCTCTGATTCTTCTCTACTGACCCAAGCCTTTTAAAATTAGGGTTAAAAATGATCTCTTTCAGCAACACCTCCCTGATTAATAAGAACCTGCCTCAGTCACAATTTAGGTACTGTGGCAATTTTGCTTTTGAGCAGTATCTTAATACTGCACCCCAGCACATGGTTTATAGCCATAGTCACACTTTATATGTGTCCCATTTCTCAGTCTGGTTTAAAATCTGGACTTACTGTATTTCTTCAGTAACCCTATGTATGTACAAACACACACAAAATATCTAGTGGTAGAGAATGGATGACTCATAGGGTTTTAATTTTCATTATCCTATCTTTGTTTACTATCACAGCCCCTCTTTACCAAAAGTACCCTGAAGGCAGAAGTACTCCAACTACTGTTACCACCTTCTGCAATAGTCTTTGATTGGGGAAGGGAGGATTGCAAATCTGAAAATAAAGGTCTTACTATGCCTGAAATACAAATAGAAAGTAAAAAGAAAAAACAATAGTGCTGGAGAGTACAGGAGAATATGTTATACCTCAAATACTACTTAAAACCTTTGCATTCAAAGCTTGTTTCTAAAGAGGCCATATCGTATCACCTAGGACCTCATTAGAAACCTCAGAGTCCCCGGAGTCACTGTCAGTGTACTAGAGTGTAAGCAACACATATCTAATGATACACAAAAGTTATGGAGGAAAATATGAGTGTCGATTATTTTTTTAAAAAAATAGTAACACTGTCTACAAGAAGAACCTATTTTAAAAAGTTAAGAAATAAGACAGGGAGTAAAATATCTAAATCTACCAAGCGGACAAAGTACTGACATCCAGAATATCCAGAGAGTTAAGGGCACACTGTAAGGAAAGGGACTACCAACGCAGTAGAAATGGGCAAGTCTATAAAGAGCATTCGCAGAAGAGAAGCTGCGAGCACCAGGTAAAGCGTACACTTCAACTTAAGTGCAAATAAAACAGTCTGGGTTCTAAGCAGGGCCGGAGAGTATGGAGTAACTACTTCCTCTCTACTCCTGGATAAACAAAACAACCTACTACAACCCCACCCCGAGGTCGCTCACCTTTCTCAGGTCCGCCGCGATGGCTGCCAAGATGTCCTTCTCGCGCTCCTGCACCATCCTCTTCAGGGCCTCGAGCTGCTGCATTCGGAAGCGCAGCGGTCGCGATCGGCCGGACCGGAACGCCTGGCGAAGCCGCTGGACCTGACGCTCCATGATCGGGCCGGTGAAGAACGCGGAGCCGGGCAGGTGTGGCGGCACAGTCCTGGCGACGCGGGGCAGATGCAGGTGCTGAGTGCCACCTTCAGCTTACACTTCCCACCCACCTACCCGCCCAGACCAGGCCTCCAAGTAAGCCGAACCGGAGGGCTCTCTCTGCAGCCAACGACGCAACGCACGCCCATTGGCAGGAACTCTTCACGTGACTGCAAAGCCCCGCCCCCGACAACTCGCAGAGTCTCACGATCCCTGTCCGCGGGCGGAAAGATTGCTCCGGCTTCAGAAAAGGGCGGGGCGTCCTCTAGGAGGAGGAACTGAGGCACCCGGGTTGTGTGTAGTGGTGGGGGTGCTCGCCCGGCCGAAAGCGGCCTCCCTTCGCAACTCCCCACCCTGGCTCCTAAGACTCAAATGCGAAGTCACAGGCCGGGTGCTAGGGTGGGGCAATCCCAGGGACCCGGCCAGGGTGACGGGCGCGACGGATATGGATACAGTGTACACACTGTCATCGCCCACTCTGGTTTTTAATCCAATTTTTCTCTTCTCCTGTCTGGCAGAACTGCTCCAGAGAGGGAACCTGTACCACCCAGGTTCCCCTAAATTTCCTCTCTAACAATGATGGGCATCCAGACCGTCTGGGGCTGCTCAGCAATGGTGGTCATTCAGGGTTGTCCTCATCTTCTGGAATGACTAAAAGTCTTTCAATATTTAGACTTAAAATGGGTGCCTTACCGCTAATTTCATTAGAATTCTGATTTATTCTTCACCAAACATACTTCCTTTAGTGTTCCCTATCTCTTTGATCTTAACTTCAGAATATATGTTGAATCCCATAATTGATGGTTCAAACTATAATATATATCTACTATATATAGCAATAGCATCCTGGTAGGCTCCTTGCTTGATTGCTTGGAGGTTAGAATCTGTAACTTCTTAGTGCTACACCTATCCTTTTATACTATGTACTTCAGGGACCCATAGGAGGTTCTCCTCCCTCCTTGGCCTCCCAGGAATTTTTACTGGAAGAAAGGGAGGGAGGGAGGGAGGGAGGGAGGATGGGCTACCAGGAAAACCAGAATCAAAATTTCTGTTTTTCTCTGTATTTAATAGTGTGGCACATGCTGGCATTTCTATGGTGGGATGGGAGATAAGTGTATTCCTGCCTCTAGGAATTCCTTGGCCATGAGACACTGATAATCTGATGTCCATAAACGCCCACCTCTGCTACCTGTGATGACTCCAGAGGTCTTGGGGACCCAACAGAAGTCCAGTCACTATGTGTTGTGAGTATGGCTGTCCTGGAGGTATACCCAGGGAGGGGTGGACCACATCCAATGTAAGGTAAGAGGCTCATGCTGGAGACCCTGTCCAGGTCACAGTGAATAAGGGTTGCCTGTACAGGCAAAGCAAGTCCCCAGGAGCTCTGAGGGACCAGTGGAGACCACTCCCACTAGGTGGCTCCTCAGGTAGACAGGATGACAGTCATAGCATCTCCAGCCAAGAACCTTTTGAGCAGTTTCTGATCTTTATACCACCCCATTCTTCCTTCTGATGGTTTATTCCTGATCTCTCTCCTGCGTGAAATAACTGGATTGGTTTCTCTCTCCGGACTACAACGCTTTGCTATTTCCTGCTCTTCACCTAGCTGTGATTGATATTTTCAGAACACATGCTGACCTTTTTGCTCACAACTCCCCAGCAGGTTCCTGTCACACTGAGAATAAACTCAAAGCACACACCATCCTCTGTAAGCCCTACATGCCCTGCCCTCTGGGTGTGCTTGTAGGATTCACCCACTTAATGAGTTTTAGTCAGAGTGGCTCCCTTGCTGATTACTGAACACTTTAGCACATTTTTGGCACTCTGCGTCGTTTGTCTGGAGTGCCCAGATAACTTTCTCAATTGTGTGGCTTTCACAATAGCCTGTGAGTTGAGGCTTATCTGAGGTGCTTCTTGGTGGAGCAAGACAATTGGCAAGGCATCCACTGTGCTTCGCCCTCGCTTGGTAAAACAAGTCAAAACAAACACCACAACATTCTGTTTGGAGGCTTCATGGTTGAAACTGGTGGACTGCAGCTGAGAAAATATAAGAGGAGCAGGCTTCTGATGTTACAAAACAAATCAGTAGCCTCCCCACACACAACCCAGAATTTCCTGTGCATAGCAAGCAGGTGGCCGAAGGTCAGTATCTACTGTGCTGCAATGTTGCAATTAGCTCGAAGTTCACCACAGAAGGATGAAGCACTGTGTGAGCATGAATTATATAAGATAAATCGAGGTACATATTGTGCTGTGAGCTAAGAAATGTAAGTAATAGAATTCTACTTAGTGTGAACTGGGACAGAAATCCATATCTCAAAAAGCAAGTTGATCTGAGTGGCAGCAAGCTGCTTTTCCTACTGAGAAAAAGATATGAGGGTTCCTCAAGAATATATTGTTGTATTGGTACACGCATTTAATCCCAGCACTTGGGAGGCAGGTGGATCTCTGTAAGTTCAAGGCCAGCCTGGTCTACCTAGAAAGTTCCAAGGCAGACCTTGTCTCAGAAAACAAACAGAATATATCATGATTCTGTTGTGCACAATCACTGAAAGTTTGACTGCACTGTCTCCTAAATAGTCTCTATATTGGAGAAACCAGTTGTCTCAGGGTTTCTAGTGCTGTGATAAAGCACCATGACCAAATGCAGTTTGGGGAGGAAAGGATTTATTTCAGCTTACAGTTCCACATCACAGTCCATCAGTGAGGGAAGCCAGGGCAGGAACTCAAAACAAGGCAGGAACCCGGAGGCAGAAACTGATGCAGAGGCGATGGAGGATTGCTGTTGACTAGCTTGTTCCTCAAAGCCTGTACAGCCTATCTTTTTATAGGACCTAGGAGCCGTGGTACCTCCCACAGTAAGCTAGGTCCCCAATATCAATCATCAGTCAAGAAAATGTACCACAGGCTTGCCCACAGGCTAACCTGGTGGGCAAATTTTCTCAATTGAATTTCGTTCTTCTCAAATGACTCTGGTTGGTGTCAAGTTGACATAAAATAGGCAGCAGAGCAATTGAGAGCATTCTGCTGAATATGTTTAAAACGCACATCCAAATGTTTCAGCAAAACAATATTGTTATGGAGCAAAAAAAAAAAAAAAGGACTAGAATTATATGTATTCCCAACTGAAATATTTTCCCTTCTTGTTTTGAATATGGTATGTTCATTGACTTAAGTGACCAGGGATCAATAACATCATCATTTCAAGATTAGGGGTATGGGGTATCTCCCCACAAACTACTTCCAGGAAAGATGGCAATCTGGTAATTTAAGAAGGCCTTTTCAGTTAAAGCATACTTTCTTTATTGAGGGTGAGTCATTCCCTGCCCCTGCCCCTGCCCACCACAATCTCAGAGCCTGTTCAGGACAGAAATGACAGAAGCACATCCTCAGCACATAGATTATGTCAGCCGTATACCGGTGAGCCAAACCTGACCCAGAAGCTCTCCCTTGAACTTTTGTTAGGATTCTCATGAAAGAGTCATGAAGAGAGATTATTTGATTCCAGAACACACTGTGGCTGATTTTCAACAACCAAAAGAAATGAGTCCCAAGAATAAATTTGATACTAAAGAAAGCAGAACTCGAGGCAGTGTCTTAGTAAGATTGGACTGAACTGCAAGCTTGAAGCTTAAAGTACATTTTTCTGCTCTCACGTGTCCATGAGCTGATAAATTTCCAAACTGTAGGCATCCAAAGTTTGAGTTGACACTTGTTATAAAAATAAAGCCAATAATATAGAGAGAACCCCAAACTTCAGGCCCTTGGATTAACACCAGTATGGGGTGGGAAGAATCCAAACATCTTAAAAGTTGATATGTGTGGTAGAAATTAAGGCCATTTATCCATTGAAATTTGTTGACAATTTCTAAGCAGCAAATATACTCTCACAGAGAGATGGGTCCTGAGAAATCACACCCAACTTCCTAGGACATGGAAGGAGAGCCAGAAAGAAGGAAGACAGCCCTGGACACCCAGACAAACACTCAGCCCTCAATGGTTAAGACCATTAAGGTACATTTCCCTGGCCTTGAAATTTTTCTCTGCCAGAAACTGAGGAAATGGAAGTATAGTGTTTTTGTAACGCGATTGTATTTTATTAGTTATTAAACATATACAAATTTTTCCAAGTTAACCTACATATATATGTATCTTTATTCCTCTACTCAGTTGTTCCTACAAAATTCCCAGGTGATAGCAAATACATGTTTAACTTTTATAGTCAAATATATCTTCAGTATGTTTATACCAATTTATAGTCCCCCATCAGTCTCTAACAGCAGCCTCTCCAGCATTTGGTTATATCAGTATCTTAAAATTACTATCCTAGTGATACCTAGTGATATGATACCTGACTGTGACTTTCAATTTGTACTTCACTAAGGAAAAAGGAGAGTGATGGCCTTTTCAGTTTGCAGGTGTTTCTATGGGTATTTACAACTAGCTGGGCAGGAGAAACAGGCAGATCCGTGAGTTTGCCTGGACTACAGAGGGAGAGTTCCAGGACAGCCAGGCTACACAGAGAAACCCTGTCTCCCCCCCCCCAAAAAAAAAGCAAAAAGAAAAAAAATTAAAAAAGAAAAGAAAAAGAAAAATCAACAATAACAACAACAAAACCCAACAGATTTTATGAATAGTGTTGAAGATGTCATATTGGGCTTGGAGTCTTAGACACCTTAGATGCCTCTCCTAGCACTCATTATATTCTTTAGCAAATACTAGCTTTGATATATGGCTGTTTGTGTCCATATACCAATCATAGTCAGAAAAGAGCACACTTGGATAACTAAAGAAAGAAAAGATACAAGCCTCCCCCTCCCCAAAAAAAGCATTCAGATGGCAGATGGCATAATTTTCACAATCTCTAGGCAGTGAAACAAAATCTTTGAAAACAAGGAAACCCCAAAGGAAGATGATAAGATTGAAAAATAGATAAGACAATAAGGAAAGGGCAGAGGCTTAAAAGTAAGGAAAGAAGTGGAAAAGAATAACTTAAGAGAGATGAAGTCAAAGAAGAAACAGAGAGATAAAGTGAGCA